CCGCGCGTGTCCCCGCCGCTGGGCGCCCGCCAGGATGTGCCCCAGCCCTCGCCGCCGCCGCGCCCTCGCCCCTGTGTATTTTCTCATGTCCTTCATTTCTTATTTTTGTCCTCGCAAGTGGCCCCGCCTGGGACGAGGCTTCGACACGGATGGGCTCCCGGCGCTTCTCCCGGCTCGGGAAGCCGGCGCCCAGCAGCCTCCTCAGGTGCCGGTGGCCAAGAGCTGGGCGGGGGGCTGCCATGCTGCACGACCCTGGCCCCGCGCCACTCGCTCAGCGCCCGGCTTTCCTTTCCGGAATCTCCCCGCTTCCCAGCCCTAGTCTCCCACTAGCTTTCAAACGGTGGAAGTTTCAGGAAACAACGGCTCTGGGCTCCGGGCAAGGGCAGAACGGTGTTACGGAAGAGAGCGCGCAGGTTGGAGTCCTCTCCAAACGACCCCGGCGCCAGTTTTGAATTAAAATAAAAAGAGAGAGAGAGAAATAATTTCTTAAGGTTGGTTTTGTTTTCCTTTGGTTGGCAGGCGTATTCATTTAGGTGATTTTTTTTTTTTTTAAGAAAAAAAGTCAAAATAAAATATGTCCGGAACCCTGGGACTGTAGTCCCAGTTAACACAGACCCGGGTAGCACTTTGGGAGCCCAGCGGCGAGGATGTCTTTGTATCGTAACTGCCTGTGAACTTTTGCAACTGTTGCAAGCATTTTGGGAACACCGTGGAGCGGTGCAGGGAAGCTCGCCGGGCAGTTTGCGGCCGGGGCTTGGGGGCAGGCGGTGCAGGAATTTTCCTGGGAAAACTGGGGCCCAGAGAAGTGGCAGGGGTGGGGAGAGAAAGAGGGTTCGCTGTCGGTGGGGGTAGGGCGGCTGTGAGAATGAAACTTTCCTGCAAATTTACAGGACCCTGAAGAGTTCGGGGAAGTCGCCAAGCGCGGCGGAAGGTAGAATTCTGTGTCGCTTCTTGGAGAGGACGCCAACGTTCGCCGCAGGGTCGGATCCCTGGCTGAAGGTGCACCGTCTTTGACCTGGTTCATTCTCTCTTCTTCCCCTCCTTTTTTTTTTTTCCTTTCGACACACTTTGGGGAGAAGACGCGAAAGCCGGTTCCCACGGCGTCCGAAGCCTTTCCGGGGAAGCCCGGCCGCTCCACTCCGAAGCCTCCAAGCCTGGTTCTGCAGCTCTCCGCGTTTTTTGATGCTTAAGGGCCCGCTCGCCCGCCTCCCCTTCCCCCACTGCAGACCGGCTGGATTTCCCTAGGTCTCTCTGGGGCTTCGATATGCAGCCATTCAATTTCGTCAACTTGCTTTGCATTTCCTACGAGGTGTGGCTGTGGGGAGGCTCTTTTTAAGTCAGTGCCATGAAGGCGAGTCTGAGACCTGGCCCTCTGGCTTTAAGAAGAAAGTCTGCAGGTTCAGAGGCACTGGGGTCCTGGAGGTGTGAGTGTGGGGGTGAAATAGGTTGGGATGCTGCGTGGACATCCAGACCTCTGGAGGATGACCGCGGTGAACTCAGGAGCAGCACCTCTTCGTTTGCGACCAGCGGGCGTGGGGAGCCGACCAGGTGCAGGCTTCGCAGGTCTGAGCCATGGGCGAAGCTGCAGGGCCCAAGTCCACCCCTGCACAGGCTGCGCGGGGACTTCGTTGGGAGAATCGGGGAGGCCAGGGAGACAGTGCACACCCGCGGGCACACGTTCCCTCCTCTGCTGAAATGGTGCGCTCCAGGAGGCCCTGGAGTGCCCTTTAAAACTGGCTTGACTAAGACCAATTTTCTAAAAAGTAAAGGTGGAAAATAAAAAGGCACGGGACCTCCTGGCTGCCCACCCCTCCCCTTTCTCTCCCTCTTGCACTCAGATCTGAAACTTTTCTTTATGTGTTCGATTCAGTGTGGCGAGTGGTAAGGCAGCTTCTGGTCTGGATTAAGCCTGAGTAGCAACATACGTTGTGAAATGACAACGTGTCAACTGGAAATGTTCACAGATGAGGGACAAGGATCTGTGCTCACTGTGCCCAGAGTAAAGGGTCACTCCCAGACAAGAGGTGGCACAGACACAGGCCCTCGCTGTCACCTGGCCACTGCTTCGAAAATGTTGTCATACCTAAACACGATTCAAACACAAACGTCGCCTTTCTTCCCTGTAATTAAATCTAATTTGTTAATTGTCTTTCCTCTTGCAATGCGGTTTTCATCTTAAGAAGCGACACGTTATTATTTTGTCTGCTTAATAATATTATTTACAAATTAATACTGTATGTTTTACATTAGTGGAGCATATAATTAGGCGTTTGATTTAATTTGTGTCATTTATTCCGATAAAACAGAAAGCCTATCTGCAAGATTGATTTGACAAGGGAAGTTGGGTAGTTGGTTCTAATTTCACTCAGTCACAGCTTACTCAAGCTACCTGGCTGTAAACCCACCAGTCTGCTGGGCACTTTGTTTACAATGCATTCAGCCCAGCCTCCTAGACCAGCGGGTATTCAAATGCGAGGCCCTTCCCTGCCTCTCACCCTCCACTCCTGCTCAGTGGCCATCTTTCGCAGTCCTCTCTGGCTGCCGCCCCCCAACTTTTGTTTCAGGTCCTCAGGGTTAAGTCCTGCCTGATTTTGTGTCTTTAATGCTGTGACAAGTGACCGCTAATTGGTTCTCACTTGAGCAAAGATATTACCATACTAATATTATTATTGGTAAGAAGAGGTAATTGATAACACCACCTGCCACTCTGGGGCGATCAGGATGATAAATGTTTCCATCAACAGCAAATCTGTGCTGGGCAGCCCAGACGCAGCATGTCAAGTGCCAATTATAAAGCTGCTGGTTTTCCATTACGTGTGGGGTGGGGGGGACTGGAAGACATGTCGCCAAAAATTGTATTTATGGTGTTTTGAAAATGCTTTTTCCAAGCTTCTGTTCACCCACTTGAAGATAGCTTAACTCATGCAGGTAAAAGACTCCACTTAAGCATGCCAGTAGCTAACTGCCTGGTTCACGCTGGCTACAGCCCTTCCCCTGACCACCTTTGCTTTGAAGGCTGTGGAGCTAAGTTGCCCCAGTATTTTAACAGACAGGCTCCTGTGCATGGTATGTAAATCTCCTCTGCCTGGGTCTCCCAAGCCCTTCTGTGTTCATTTCTGAATGAGGGACAGCCTCACTGTGGGTGCCACAGCCCCACACAGGGGCCTCGGTGCACACAGACACACACACCATGACTCAGTGCAGGAGGCCACAGGCTGGACGCCCAGGGGTGTGGGCCCGCGCGTATCTCACAGAGGCGCTTCGGCATATATGATTACGTAAATAATGCTGGCCGGTTAGAACTGTGACTCTTTGCCTATAGGGAGGCTCAAGCGGTTATTATTAGCTTGCATTAATAGATGCAGGCCTCAAAAGGCGAAATCAGCTATTGATAATTGCAAGAAGTATACAGCAGCTACTGTATCGATCGGCTTGTCCCTTATTCCCCTGGTATGGGAGAGATAAGAAGACTCACTCTTTAGTGCAATATAATTTCTTTTGACCTATCTGCTTGCTACAGACTTATGATGAATAGCCGGAGTGGTTAAAGTCCTTTATCACGAAAGTTACCCCTTGATATAATATTGATTCTTTATAACTAGCTCCAAACACAAAAATCAAACTGTCCACTTGACCATCATCATCATCAATATCATCACAAAGCCCCTGGAATAGAGATCAGCACCGCCTGAAAACGCTTTCTATAATCTTCCTGGCTAATCTTTATTTGCTGATGGTGAAAGGGGAAGGGGGGTGGGAGCGCAGAGGAGAGCCAGCGGAATGTCATTCGGACGAGCACTGTGTTCGCATGGACACATACATGAGGTCGAGCCAAGGCGACCTCCTCCAGAGGACGGGCAGTCAGCACGTCACCTCCCGCAGGGCCTCCTGGCCGTCCCCGGGGAGGCCCAGAGCTAGGCGGAATGGGAAAAAGGGTTCCACACGCTGTCTCCTGGCCGGGCCAGGAGAGCCCAGGCCTTCCGCTCGCTGGAGATAATGCCAAGCGCCCTGGCGCTCTAGCAGGCCGGCGCTCTGGAAGCCCGCGAAGAGGGGCGCACGCCGGGTGGGCTGGCCAGCTTGGAGGGTTGGGCGCCCGGAGTTGCACATCAAAGGCTGCCCGTGCAATTCGTGTGCATTTCCCTCAATTAACGGCATTTCCTGCCCCTCCGCTTCCCTCCCCCCCCCGCCCC